TTTTTTAAGACAAGGTCTTGCTGTTAGTTCAGGCTGGCCTTGAACTGACTGACTGTGTAGCTTAGGCTGGCCTTGAACTCAGAACCATCCTCCTGCCTTGAACTCCATATGCTGGGATTACAGGCCTGCAATACCACATCCTGACCCATTTAGTGTTTTACATAGCCAAGCGGCCAAGTTTCCCCCTACTGCATTACTCAAGTAAAAGAAAAAAAAAAAAAAAAAAAAAAAAAAAAAAAAAAAAGGGTCTCCCTCTGTTGTCAAGGCTGGCCTTGAACTTTGTAGCCGAAGCTTGAATTCCCAGCAATGCTGTTTCAGCCTCTAGAGTACTGGGAATACAGGCTGTGGCCATTCACTGTGCCCAGCCCAAAGGCATTATCTGATAGCACTTTCAGAACTTCGTAGTTACATTTTATTTTATTTTTATTTTTTGCATTTAGGACAGGGTCTATAGGGTCTCACTATGTAGACTGGACTCCTAGTGATTCTCCTGTTTTCAGCCTCCCAAGTGCTGGGATTAAAGGCACGTGCCACCATGCCTAGTCTCAATCACCGGCTCACCACACCCAGGGGCAGGGCCGGCACAGCAGGCCCGGGGATCAAACCCCACTCCCTGTCTGCTTAAGCAGGCATTTTAGTTCCCTGAGTTACCAGGCTGGCCCTACATTTTTTTTTTTTTTCCTTTTAAATTTTAATTTTAGCCAGGCATGGTTGTACATATAGAGGGAAAACATGTAATTCCTAAACTGCTAAATGTCAGATACGCTGTTTGTGTTCCCAAAGGCAAAAAATGAATCCCAAGGAATGGAGATTCAGAGTAGGGCTATTTATTGGGGAATAGGAAGAGCTCCTGTGAGGAAGAGCTTCTTGAGTGGGCTGCCACAAAGCCCACTTTTCTTAGAAAGTTTTATAAAGTCATTACGGGTGAGTACAACTGGGTTAGTTTTATCAACAATAAATTTACATAATCCTAGTCTCATTAGTTTTAGTTTTAGAAGTCTTAAATCTTGGTGCCCACCGAGATAAGAGTTTATTTATATGGAAATTTCATAGGAGTGGTACCAATGATCTCAGCCTGCTTCGGGAAGTGCCTAAACCTGGTTTCTGTGACTTGAATCATCTTCAGATGTTCCTCAGACCAGTTTCGCGGCTTTCTCATCTTCCACACTCACTCTCTCAAGGGCCTAGCCGTTTGAATATGTTTTTTTCCGAATATATTATTTCTATATTTCTACCTACCTTAGCTGTCTGTAATGTGGGCTCTTGCTAAGTTGGGCTGAACATGCCACGCTCCTGCCTCAGCCTGCGTGAATGCTGGGGCTTACAGGTTGTGCCATCATGCCCAGCTCGGACCTTTTTTTTTTTTTTTTTTTTTTTGTGGAACTGGGGATTGAACTCAAGCCCTTGCACTTGCCAGGCAAGCGCTTATTCTACTGAGCCATCTCCTTGGCCCTCTGGATGCTTCTTTTATTAGAAATTGACTTCCATGTGTATTTATTTATTTATTTACTTCCATGTGTTTGCACAGAGCTATATTCCCAGCCCCCTCCCTATGCTTTTTTTGGAGACAGGGTCTCACTATGTAACCCAGGGAGGGAAAAAAAAAAAAAAGAAGAACAACCATTAAATCCTTTTAGGGCCCGGGAAATAGCTCAGTAGAATAAGTGCTTGCCTGGCAAGCGCAAGGGCCTGAGTTCAATCCCTGGCTGGGGAGGGGTGGGGTGGGACTGGGGGAGAAGAACCAGTAACTCAGGGAGGCCTCAAACACACCACGCTCTTCCTCTCAGCCTCCCAAGCTCTGGGACTGCAGGCACAGTCCCCCTTGCCTGGTTCCTAGACCTTTTTAAATTTTTGGACACAGGATCTGGCTAAGGAGCTAACTTGCTGAGACTTGGCTCAAACTTGTGATTCTTCTGCCTCAGACAGCCAAGAGCACAGGGATCAGAGGTCAGGGCTACCATACCCAGCTGTTTGATGCTTATTAATGAATTTTATTAATAGAAAATTACTGCACTTGCCAGTCTTTAGTTTCTAACCTGAATGCAGGAATGTTAATTTCTAGTTTCATTATCTGTCTTATATACTTGGCTGTTAATTGTGACTGACTAAAATAAATTCTTCACAATATACATTTCTTCTGGTTCTTCCTAAAACCTTAACAATTTGGCTTTCTTGAATTTTTACTGCGAAGTGGTTGACATGCAAAACGAGCTTAATGCTACTATTTAACTCTTCTACTGGGAAATCCTAGAAAACAGAACTAATGAAATGCAGCTTTTACTTTTAAATTTCTAGTTATAACTGTCACATTAAATTGGAGGTGAGAATAAAGCTGCTGCACGTGTTAACTAAGTGAAGTGATGTCCTGTATCATGTTATTTAAAGCGCAAGTGTAAAAGTCGAGTTCCCTACAGAATCCAAGCGCCTCCACTTCGCCTTCTGGGAAAGTACGAACTCTCCATTCTCCCTCGAGCGGCCCCACTCCCTTCCTCCCTCCGCCCTATTTTAAATGTAGATAGAGTGACCCTGAGTCTTTTGAATTTGAAGGGCTGCTATCTCGGCCCCATTCTTTTCATCATCCTGTTTTGAATGACACTGAGCACGTATAGATTCTTTTACAAAGGCCCCCTCCAGGCTGCTGGCTAATTTTGCATAGTAATTAGCACTGACTTCTGCAAGTCTGCGATCCAAATACTGCTCGAAAGTTCCTCCCAGCTCATCTTAGGTTTTAGATAACCAGACCCTCAGTGCCTCTGGATTTCAAACCCGAACAAGATAAACTTCTAAAATGACTAAATTCCCAGCTGGAGTGGAGGAAATGGTAACCCCAAACTATATGTTAATCCAAGCCCTCGCCGCCACTGGGCAGCAAGGAGCCAGCATATGCCTTCTGCTCAGATCTATTCTACCTATTCACTGACCGCGCGCGGCTGGGCCACATGGCCCTCTCTCGCAGCCAGTCAGCTGTGAGCAGCAGATGGGACCATTTGCATTTTTCTTTTTATACTTTTTTCGGTCGGGAAATTAAAGGACTTTAAAAATTTACATTAGCATTGTTTGCTTAAAATACAAACGGGGCTTCAATGGTGAATTGGGTTTCCCTACTCTCACCCCCAACCCATCACGGAGACTTGAAAAAGTACCTCCGGGGCTGGCTTCTATTTATCAACTTGGGATCTACAGTGCGGGAGTTACGAGTGGCCCCTGGCCCCAAAGGTCTCCACCGAGTTTTAGCCTGTTTCAAGCGCCGAGCGCACGCGCCTCCCAGCCCTCGCTCTGCAGCCTGCACCCTGAAAACTTCGGGCTGCAAGTTGAAAGCAGGTTTTAAGTTCTCGGGCTCACCGCAGAGGGCGGCCACCCTGCGAGGGAGTGGCCAGAGCCGCGTTTCCCAGCGCCCGGGTCGCTCGGCGCGTCCCGCCGGACTCCATGCCCCTCCGCCGGGGCCAGCGCGCCCCGATGTCTTTGTGCCGGCCGCGGCGCGGGAAGACCCGCCCTAGGGTCCCGGGCTGCGACCGAAATGCCACAAGCTTCGGAGAGACGCGAGCGCCAAGGCAGAAGACGCTCCGCACTGTCCCCGTCCCGCGGGGAAAAAGTGTTAAAAGAGGGATTTCGGGCACTACTCGGGTCTAAGAAGCCACGTTTCAGAGCGATGACCCGCGGGGGTCAGGCGAGCGGAGAGGCCCGGGGCTCGTGGAGCCGTGGGAGCGCGGCCGTCGGCCCCCGCCCGAGCAGCCGGCGCGGCCCACGTGGAGCGCAGCGCAGCGCCGG